AATTGGCTCAGTGTAAAATTTTCGTCCAGACGTAAATTAATTTTCGTACCAGTACGATTGGTCTCTGTAAAATTTCGTCCAGACGAAATTAATTATCGTACATCAGTACGATTGGTTCTCTGTAAAATTTTCGTCCAGACGAAATTAATATCGTCCAAGACGATTAAACCGACTTAGGACAGTTTCAGCAGTTTCCTAGACTCGACCTTGTAATAACCGTTCGTACGGACGAACCTAGTTCGTACAGGACGATCAGCTGTACGAAGACACTTCGTACACATATTCAAATAGGGTCGTTTCAGATCGTTTTAAGTAAAATCGTCCAGGACGATCCACGATCGTACAGGACGATCACTGCGTACAGAATTGGAAAACTTGCAGTTTTTGGGCGGTTTTTCTTTGTCTTTTTGTATAAATAGCCCAAATTAGACTGCCACCCAATCTTTTTGTCATTTGATCTTCGTGCCTCTTGAGAGAATAGCCAAAGGGAGCAATCGTACTGTATGATAATTAATTTCGTCTGGACGAAAATTTTACAGAGAGCCAATCGTACTGTACGATAATTAATTTTGTCTGGACGAAAATTTTACAGAGAGTCAATCGTACTGTACGATAATTAATTTCTTCTGGACGAAAATTTTACAGAGAGCCAGTCGTACTGTACGATAATTAATTTCGTCCTGGACGAATAGGACTTAGAAAATTTTTTCGAGCAAATTTCTATTCGTTCCATATGCTCTATAGGAGTTAACTGTCTGATCGTCCAGTACGAACAAAAATCGTCCTGTACGATCAACACAAATTTAATATGATCTCCTTATTTGTGTGTGCATATTTTTATTCACTCAAGTTACAATCACTCCCTTTCAATTTGATTTCTAAGCAAAGTGCAAGCTTCAAAAATTTCAAGGTATCTCATGTTGATTTTAATTTGAAGCCTTGTAGTCTGGAGTTCTTTCCCTGAAATGTTAGTATACACAAGAGCAAATACAATTCTTCCAAAATTGTTAGGAGATAACTACACATTTGAACAATAATGTTTGAAATCATCAAAACTTTATAAGTTGCCAAAAATGTAATGCATGCAAATAGCAACTATCTTAACAATGCAAACAAAAGATTGTTAGAAAATGAGTTTTCTAGTAATGAAATCATGGAGATTATCAACAATTTGGAAGGAAACAAATCTTCGAGGATTGATAGGATCTCTCATTCCTTTATTAAAGCATATTGGAGTATTATTGGTAAGGATGATTGCAAAGCTATCAATTTGTTTTTTTTTTTTCTTTTGGAAAGCCTTGTCATGATTGGAAAGAGATTCTTATTGTTTTAATTCCTAAAGTGCAAAATCCTTTGACTCCTTCCAACTATCGGCCTATCAGTCTTTGCAAAACTATTTATAAAATAGTGGCTAAATTTTTGTTAAATAGGATGTTGATGGTGATTCCAAAAATTATCTCTAAAGAGCAAGTGGCATTTGTTAGAGGAAGATCAATTTCAGATCACATCCTTTTGGCTCAGAAAGTATTGAACAAAACCAAATTTTCTAAATCAAAGGAAGGTCTTTTAGGTATCAAGATTGATATGGAGCAAGCTTATGATAGCATGTGCTGGTCTACTTTAAAACAAGTTCTTGATGGGGTTTCCTAGTAAATTCTAGAATTTGTTGATGGAATGTGTTGTTGATCCAAAGTTCTCCATTATGCTAAATGGGTGTAATTCAAAGTGAATAGAGGCAAAGAATGGCTTTCGACAAGGATGTACTTTATCTCCATTTTTATTCATTATGTGCTCACAACTACTTTCAAATGTGTTCATTCAGAAAGGTATGAAGCTTGGAATCGAAATTACTCCTTTTGCACATCGTATTTCTTATTTATTGTATGTAGATGATATTCTCTTATTTTATGATGCTAAATTAAGAATTGTGAAGAAGTTGAAAAAAATCCTATTGGCGTATAGCATGTGGTCGGGTCAAGTGATAAATTTTAACAAGTCTTCTATTTTGTTTGGCAAAACTATTAATAGTAGAATATGTAAAAAGATTTCAAAATTATTGGGCTTTAAGGTGGTTAAGGAGATGGAGTATTTGGGAGTTAAAATGGCACTAAGAAGGATGGTAAAATCTGATTTTCAACAATTGATGGAGAAATCTTTGAAGAAACTAAATGCTTGGGAGAATAGATTCATTTCTTTAGCAGGAAGGATGATGCTGGTCAAATCTATTTTTCTTGCTCTTCCATTGTTTTTAGTTACACATACTTTGGTTCCTTTGAGTATCTTGAAGGAATTTGATAAGATGTGTAGGAATTATATTTGGAATAAACATAATGGTAACCATGGTCATCATTATGTGGCTTGGGATGTGCTATGTAAGTCAAAGAGGAAAGGAGGGTGGGGTTTATACTCAGCCATTTCGAAAATGGGTACATTAAGGGAAAATCTTGCATGGAATATTATTCAAAAGCCGGAGTCGCTTCTTAACAGAAAGTTGATTGCTAAGTATGAACACAATTGGTGGAATTGTGATGCAATGAGAAGCAACTCTATTTCGTCGAAATTAATTCAAAATGGATGGAAATCTCTTAGCAAAATTGTCAAGTGGGAAATATCTTCGGGTTCATCTATTAATGTTTTTAAAGATATATGGATTCTTGATAAAAATATTGAGTAGTGGCCTACGTTTATTGCGGGATGGGATGATGAAACACTTACTTTGGATGCATTTATTAGCAATGGAAGATGGAATACTAATCAGTCGCATCAAATTTTGGAAAAGAACTTATGGATATTATCTCTCTTATTCCTTTATGTCCAGATTTATTAAATGACCGATTGGAGCTGAAATATAAATTTTCTGGGAAGACTTTATCTTCTCTAGTTTCAGGAACTGAAAATGAAGATGAACTAGATGATAATTTTTGGAGATGGACAAAGAAGCTGAAGTTGAACTCTCAGGTGGAGCTATTTTTATGGCGTTTATACAATAATGCTCTTCCAACAACTGATTTCCTAATGTATAAAAGATTGATGAGCAGTAGTTTATGTCTAAGATGATGTGATGTAGTTGAAAATGTCGACCATATTGCTGCTGGTTGTTTAAGATTGATCCAAGTAATAAATTGGTTGAATGCATGGGGAATTCAAGTTCTGGTTTTCAAATATTTTCAATAATGCATATCGGCATTTGAAAGGTTAGCTGATTCTAATCCTTTTATTGTCAAAGTTTATTATACAGTGATATACTTGTCTTGGAAAAGTAGGAATAATGTAAAGCATGGAGATAAAGAAGATAATGTTGTTTTTATTGCTTCAAAAGTTCTCAGCTTTGTGGCTTCTTCTACCTATAATTATCTTATCTCGGGAAACTGGGGTGTTAATCAACATCAACTGTTTTGCAATCTTTAGCACCCTCCTCCGCCCGAGTGGATTAAAATTAACATTGAAGCTACTTTGTTGCAAAATAATAAAGCAGATGTTGGAGTGGTAAGAGACAATAAAAGAATATTCTTGTTGGCTTTTGATTTTGGTTGTATGCATTGGGATATTGCACAAGTTGAGTTGTTAGCAGCTAAATCTTTGAAGAAGGTGGTTCAAAAGTGGATGTTTGAAGTAGAAGGCATTATTATTGAAGGAGATAATCAAAATGTCATCAAATTTCTTCAGGATTCATTTTACAAATCTAATTGGACAATGGGTAGGCAAGAGGTGAATGATTTCTTATTCTTAAAAGGTTTCAAGAAGGTTTTATTTCATAGTTGTAATAAGTTAACAAATTTTTATGCTAATTTAGCTTTATCTAATGATTTTATTTAGGATGTAATTAGTAACAATAATTTTCCTCCTTTTGTGTCTTTGTTAAAGGAGGGATAGGCTTTGCTATCTTTGAGTAGTTCATAATTAAGTTTTTTTATTTTTAATGCAAGTCGCAGTTTCCAAAAAAAAAAAAAACTAGTCAATAGGTAAATCATGAGAACTAATTTCATATAAAACGATATCAATAGATCTTCTCAACCACCACGCATCATACACAACCATTCTGCAATTCTCTATGTTACTGTTGTATGAGAAAAAAAGGTGAGAGAAAGAGAAATAAAAAGAGAAAATTCATTCATCCCTATACTTACTTTTCGTTCTTTACATTTCACATCTCCTTCATTCTTCATAATTTTCTCTTCATTAGCTCACATGCCAAGAACAGAATCTCATAAGAAATTTTTATAATAGAAAATATCTTATCACCACTCATTTTTATCTTCAAAATTGTCTTTCATAATCCTCTATAATTAATAGAATATAGTCTAAAGGTACACAAATCTCGCTACAATATGAATGGTGATAAAACATTCCTCATAGAAATTTATATAGAGAGTTCTATGTCTGACATGAGAAATCCTTGGAATATTTTTCCAATTAAATCGACCTTATAGCTCTATATGACCCTCGCATGTTACATGAGATTAGCCGTTGACTTTTCATGTTTCTTACACATCAACTGCAATGAATCTTACGGAAATAATCAAATCCCCACAGCTTCCAGCCAATCAAGTTGCCATGATTATGATCACAATGAGCAGGACAATTCCAAATATCACCAACAGCAAGCACGCCTGTGGCAGCAAACACAAAGTCATTGGAAGAAGAAAATAAAAAGAGAAAGAAATGCAAAAAAACATCAGTTAAAATATTCGTAAAAAGCAATCCTTTACATACCAAAGATGAGTTTGATTTCTGTGTCTTTGATGCTTTGGTTAGTTGAGTTTTGGCTTGTGTTGTAGCCGCCAGTGAGTTTTCAACATTGGACTCGATATCATCTAAATGAAAAAAAAAATCATAAAAGACAAATCAACAAGTAACAAAAAAAATGGCTAACTATTGCTTGGTGGTAGAGTTCATGATTGAAATTGTTTACTTGATTAAAACAATTAAAAAAACCTATACTAGATCTCTAATAACCAAGATTTTTCTAGGAAAACATATGAATTTACCAATCATAACTCCTTGACCATGAACCAGCACGGCAAGATCTTTGAAAATCTCATTCACCTCGCCAATTTGCTGCTGAATCTCTTGAATTCCCTGCTCTCGCTCGTCAATGATAGCCTCATTGAAGACAATCTCATTATCCAGTAGCAGTACTTCCTGCCTGAAATTACCAAAATTTGATAGTTAGCAAGCAGATCATGAAAGCATTCAGCAGACCTAGGAGTTCCTTCAATCGTAAACGAACAGATGTGGCTACCCACAAGAGTTAAAAACTATTCTTTTTATATGCGTGCAAAAATAAAAGTATTCTAAACAATGTGGAGAATGAGTAAGAATAACACAGACAAGGTTATTTTCAGGCATAGCTATGCTGAATTCATTTATTCAAAACTGAATCTCGAATATATAGCCATACGCATTTGGAAAAGTGTTGCTAACAGAACAACAACAAGCATCTGCACAACGACATTATGGGAAATGACACAAGGTGAGCAAAAATTAAAAACTGAGCTAAATGCCACGGCCAAAATTACCAAAGCCCATCTATGATATGTTATATTATAAGTAAATTCTATCTGGTTTTGCATATTTAAATAACTTTGTAAATGAGATTCAAGTCCAATTTGATGACATACACAAGAAAATCTACTACCAATTATATCAGGTTATTTTATGACTAAGATAAATGACAAAAAATATACATCATTACTCATCGTAGATAACATTAAATTGTCTAAACAAGATAAACTTGAGCCCATTGCATTTCATGGATGGTAATGTTTATCTGATTAATATTATTAGCCAAATTACACTAGCATGTAGATAAAATTAAACCAAAAAATACAAACTTTATCCTCCATTTTATGTGGTGTTGAAGGCACCTGATGTGGAGTACAATTCAAAGCTTTATTTGAAGCCAATATAACAATTTTAATATGCCAAAATAAATAATAAGATAGATATTAGTATTTGTAGGTTTTATTCAGCTACATAATTGAGTTCCTCACCATTTGAGATGGCAACTTCAAAGAAAAAATCATGCTCCGTAAATAATTATATATTCGGTGAAGCAGAAACTACTCACGTACCTTCTAGATTCCACCAGCAGAGCACGCTCCTCTAGTGTTTTTTCAGAACTGACATCAACCTCGCTTGCAGTGTAGCTGCAAGAATAATGAAACCATATGATTAGATCAATAGGCAGAAATGATTAGGAATTCAGAAGGTAACACATGCGCACTGCGATCTGCATAAGATTTGGATGGCAAGAAGTTCTATATAGTAATTATCATTGTATGCAACCAATTACAGGGCTGTTTGGGAGCACTGTTTGTTTTTTTACAATTTACAAAAAAAAAAAAAAAATATTGAGTCATATTTTTCAATTGTTTTTGTTTTTTGTTTTTGAAAACAAATCAACCTATTATGAAAAATGCTTAAAACAACTTTTAAATGTTTTCAATTTTTTTCAAATAAAAATAACCCTGACAACCACTCGCTCACATCAATCACCATACACGACTGTCGCAAGGCTTCATTACCATCCTCCATCAACATCTAATGCAATAAAACAACAACAACAACATCAAAACTTTATGCCATTATGTGGGGTCAGTTACACGAATCCTTTTTCTCCATTATGTCCAGTTAAGAGTCAAATTCTCATTTAGATCTAATAAAGAAAGGTTATTTCTAATATTTTCTAACTTAGTCATTTTAGGTCTACCTCTACCTTTCTTAACATAGGTTAAATCTAATACATCTACTCTTCTAACTAGGTCATCAGAAGGCCGTTGTTTTATGTGACAGAACCATCTAAGGCGACTCTCTCTAATCTTATCTATCAATGGAGCTAACTCCAACCTTTTCACGTATATGCTCACTTCGTATCTTGTCTCTAAGAGTAAAGCCACACATCAGCCTGAGCATCCTCATCTCTGCAACACTTAACTTAATATTATGCTTCTCTTTTAATGGCCAACATTTTATGCCAAAAAGCATTGCATGTCTAACCACCATCTTATAGAATTTTCTCTTAAGTTTGAGTGATAATTTTCTATCATATATCAAGCCCGATGCATTCCACTTCATCCATCCAACTTGAATTCTACTAATAATATCCCCATCTATTTCACCATCACTCTTAAAAATAGACCCAAGATATCTAAAACGTGTACTCTTATTAGTGACTTGATCACTCAAAGCCACAAACCCCCCCCCCCCCCCCCCCGCTAGCTCACCCCCCCCCCCCCCCCATTAGATCTATTACTATAAAAATTACACTAAATGTATTCGGTTTTAGATCTACTTAAAAAAAACCTTTAGACTCAAGATTGACCTCAATAATTCAAGTTTACCTTCAACTCCCTCTTTAGTTTTATCAACAAGAAGAATATCATCAGCAATAAGAATACACCAGGTAACATCCTCTAGCAAATCTCCAGTAAGAACATCCATAACTAAAGCAAAAAAATATGGGCTTGAGGCTGAACCTTGATGTAATCCAACTGAAATTGGAAAATACTTGACCAAAACACCTTGTGTTTGAAAACAAGTAACAACTCCAGCATACTTATCTCTAATGACTTGAATATAAGCAATTATTAATCCCTTTCTATTTTAGAACTCTCCATAGCACTTCTCTTGGAACTTTATCATATGCTTTCTCTAAATCAATAAATATCATATGAAGATCTTACTTTTTCTCTCTATACTTCTCCATCAAACCTCTCAATAAATGTATGGCTTCCAAGGTAGACCTACCCGGCATGAATCCAAATTGATTTTGAGAAATATTAGTATCATGTCGTAACCTATGTTTTATAACTCTCTCTCATATCTTTAAAGTATGACACATCAACTTAATTCCTTTATAATTTGCAGAACCTTGTGCATCATCTTTATTCCTAAAGATAGGAATCAACACACTCATTCTCCACACATTTGGTATCTTTATATTCTTCAAAATATTATTAAATAGTTTAGTAAGCCGAAAAATTCCTTCATCTCTTAAGCATTTCCACACCTCTATTTGAATATCATCAGGTCCAACAGTTTTCCCACACTTCATTTTCTTTAAAGCCTCTCTAACTTCTATTTTAGTAATATGCCGATAAAAGCAAAATTATATATTTTGATTTGAAAACAAATCAACCTATTATGAAAAATGCTTAAAACAACTTTTAAATGTTTTCCATTTTTTTCAAATAAAAATAAACTTGGCAACTCCACACTCATATAAGTAACCAAACACGACTGTCGCAAGGCATCATTACCATCCTCCATTAACATTTAATGCAAAATATGTCATAAAAATAAATAACACTTACTTAGGATAATATTCATATATTAAAAACAAGAAAAAAGCATAAAAAAAAAAATTGATTTGAAACAGCCTCTAATTTACTAAAAACCTAAATATAGAAAATAATTTGAAAAGCTCAAGGAAAAATAAATTTAACTAAATTTTGTCAAATAGAACAAATCCTAGTTGGGAGACTAGTTAAGAGGTAAAAAGGACAGAGAAATTACTTCCTACTCTAGAATAGAACTCATGGAGATTGCAATTAGAAGATTGTGACAGTCGGATAAATTTTGCCAAGAAAGCTTCCTCTAGAATGCTTAGTTATCCAAAGGTTATTTAAGATGTACATTCATAAATTTTCTGCAAACCCAAAAGCTTGAAAATTATTCGTCCCTCCCTACCACTTGGTATATTCTTCAGCAAAATGGGCAAAGAAAGCCCCGAAGCATGCCTTCAAGATAATCCAAATTACAGTGCATCGGGGTTCGAACATACCATAATGATTAAGCAAAGCTACGACGTACTTGTACCAATGCAAAACAAGGTTTTCAAGGCAGTTAAAATGGATGTATTCATTAAGAAAAGATTTACAGTGAGTTTGTGCCATAATATAAGATACCAATACCTAATCCGTGGAACAAAACAAAAGAAAGAAAATAGTCCACTGCAAAAAAGAACCATTTACAATCTTGGAAATCATGAGCAAAACTTACCGTTGTTCCTCTGTTAAATCATAATTAATACAGAATGACTATAAAGCACTTCTTATATTACCATGGTCATCTGGACTTAAATATGTTCATAAAACAGAAAGGATAATCCAAAATTATTAACAAAAATAATATAAACATATAACTGATATAGTCATAAAGCTCATGAATAAATCTTAGGCCACAAAGTTCACTCAGCTTGAGAACAGCTTAATGAAAAGCTAATATAGTAGATACCTTGAAGGAAGAACTGCTTGGGGTACAAAAGGAGCATATGCTGTTTCCCTCTCAGCTGCAAGGCGTTGAGCTTTCTGAAACTCTTTCAGCACTGCTTGGAAATCTTTGGCAAGCTTTGCATCAGCAATTTTCTTACTAGGCTGCAGAAACCATTTCAGTATTTAAGCATGTGAAAAGGTGAAACATCATTGAAGCATTATTGTTATATTTCGCAAATATAAGAGATGGTAAAATTGCGGTGACTAAATTGGAGAAAGCATGGACTTTGAGTCATAAGAAGAAATAAAAAATACTTCAGTAGGAAATGTAAGAGAAAATAAGATTTTAACTGTATAGGCATTCACCACACAAAGAAGTTCAAAAATGAAAAAGAATAACTATTAAGATAACTGATATGATTAACAAGCATATAGGTAACAAAAATGTTTGAACCCAAGTTAGCACAGGTTACTTGACAAGAACTAGATCAAGCACTAACAGCAGATTTGATTGGAAAAGAAGGTTAGCATTGCTTCAATCAATGATGAACGACAAGAAAGAATCCTAGAATCCTATCAATGGATATTGATTTAGCCATGCATAGCATATTTGGTATTTAACAAGGAAGAACCAAAAGACCTGTCAGAATGTTTGATGGAGGTATGTTACTTAAACTGAGAAGCAACCATACCTGACATGGTGCAACATTAGTTGATGCTGTTAACTATATGTGGCAGCTTAAATTTTTCATGTTTGGGCATGGCCATTAATTTGAATTAAAAAAGTGCTTGGGTGGTGGCTATTAGACTTGTGTGGATAGCGAGGAAGGGCTGTTCATGCTGGAGGATTTGTGGAGACGGTATGCGTGACTTGTAGAGAGATGCTCAATGTGGTTAATGTGGATTTGCTGAACAGGATTTACATGGATCTAAAGCCTAAAATTTTCCCGCTTCCAGAAAATCAAACTTACACATGAGTGGGTTTGTGGGCAATCATTTGGCTGTAATGGACTTTAAATGTATAACTAGGAATTCTTTCTAATATTTTAGAAACCATGCCAACCATTATCAGGAGTCCAAAATAGAACTTATTTGAGGCACGAAATTGAGAACATTTGACTTGGATAAAATTTATCATTCCAGTTCAATCTTATGAGTGCAAATTGAACATGTGTTTCAGTCAAATGTGCTACAAGCGAGAATACCTAATTGAGATAAAATGATCTCCTTATACCTGTAAGAGACCTTTTGATGAGGTCATCGACAGACATTTTAGGCAGGTTTATCGGCGAAGGAATCGTAGATCGACGGCTACGATCGGGAGTTTATATTTTTGATGTTATCATGTTGTTTTATGTTATTTTATTTCATATCACCTTTTCTTTTCTTTTTTTACTTTGATATTTTCATTCATTGTCTATTTCACATAATTCTTCTGATATTAAATCGTTTAGCAGTCTTGATTTTGATAAAAAAGTAACACATTGAAAATTTAAATTTTGAAAAATTATTTCATTGTTATTGTAGATTTTGTATGTTTCTAGTTTCTTGCTGAAATTCTCAAATTATTTCAATTGTTTAATTATCAGTTAGTTTTGAATTCTAGTTTTGCTTGTTTACATTTTAAAACAATAATTTGTTGAATTATATGGCGTCTTATGATCTAAAAATTCAGTATTTCCTATGTATTAAATCATATTAAACATCATATTAGTTAATTAAGAAACTCAACCCTTGATTTGTCCTTCATCAAATTGGCATCAACTTCTAATTTGTTTGAATATAATGCATGGTTTGTATATCCCATAGCTACACATGATCAATCTTTAGACTATTTCGTTATCACTAATTGCTTCGTTAAAAGATTTTAAGCGAGAGTTTAGGAACAAACTAAGTTAAAATTCACCAAAAGAAAAATACATGGGATTTACCTAAATCTTTGTATATTGAAACCAATGTTTAAAAAAGTGCAATTGGGTATTGAGGTGTTTTTTGTTCATGATGTGAGGCGTAAGCCTCAAGGCGTTTTGAGGTGTAAGCCTCAAAATCAAAAAATTGTGTTAAGTGATAATAAAAGTCAAAAGTGATTTTTTATATAACTTCCTATTGAATTATGAATTAATAAATTTGCATACATATGAAATAAAAAATTGCACAAGCTATAAATTAACAAGTGATAAATTGCGTGAAATAGAATTAAAATCCTAATATTATAAGAACAAGATAATATTAAATATAGAAATTGTATAAAAGTATCATATAACATCAAGTTCAACTCCAAATATCTTCTTTCTCAATTCTCTACTCATTTACATTTAATTCCTAATGAAAGCTGAAATAGTTTGCAATAACTTAGAAATCATCTACACTATCATTACTGAGGTGGTCTTTATCTGAGTTGTCGTCATAACAAATTGGTATATCCCCTGCCTCATTCATTAGAGTCGAATGCCTCCCAATATGCTTCTTTAATTTATTTCACTCATGTTCATCTTTTAAAAATATTTTCATCAACATAAATATGAGATTAATGCTCCAAATTTTTTAGGGTGGTGGTGTGCAGCTTTAATGTGATTGTCGGTGACAACTACGATGGTGTTGGCTGTGGCAAAGGCTGCGAGCTAGAGGTAGAGAAAATCGAGAGGAAGTTGTTGCACTCGAATGTGCATGAAGGCGTGATTTATGTTAGTTTTAACCAAAAATATGTACAAATTGGGTGAGGCCTAAGCCTCACACTAGCGAGGCGAGGCGTGCCTCAAGGCAGGACTCAGCCAAGCTGAAGCGTATGCCTCATAAAAAAGCTAGAGACGTAAGCCTCGTGGCATTTATCACTAGAATTGCGCTGAGGCGAGCCTCATATTGCGCAACTTTAAACAATGATTGAGACACGATGGAAGGCTATTGCACTAGGAAAGCACAATAATAACTACTCAAGAGCATATGAAGTATATATAAACAAAAAAATTATGCATAACTGAAATTCATCCAATAAAAAGAGACAGTTCATGAAAATTCATTAGACCATGTTTTAGATACTTAAAATGACTTGAAGTTACAAAATAAATTTACATAAGGTTGTTTTGAATGTAAATTTGAATCTACAAAAGGTCATGTTCATGAATGTAAAAATTGACTTAAAGTTAGAATTGGAGTTTGAAAGCAGAATAATCAATGGATCATATTCGAACCTGAAATTGAACCTATTCATCAATGTGAAATAAAACCAATGATGTCTATTTAAGTTGATCAACCAAATCAGAAATTTTGAAAATACAACATTTGATGAACTATTTAATGATATTATTCCTATGATGAATGATTAGACAAATGTTAACTTTAGCTCAGGTTCGTGTGGTTTATTGAAATAAATTTAAAGAACAATTTTATGATGAATGTTCATAAACTATTTCAGAAAATTTATTAATAGTAAGTATTTTAAAATAAATTTAAATAAAAAATAAAAAATTACATCTATTTGGTCAATTTTAAAAATACATAATACATCACAACTCATATTTTTAACCATTTAGCTTCATCTTTTAAAAGAGGTTATTCATCCAATAGTCAACAGAATTAGAAGGTTTGTAGACTTGCAATTATTTTACTTTTAATTTTGTTATAGGTCATTGCTAGTAAACCATAGGATGCATATTAGTCTTAGCATTTCATACTTTCCTTGTATTATTTACATCATCATTTACAACATATATGCCTGACTGAAAAAATTATTCACAGAAAATAGGCTATTAATTATGACAAATATAAGTTTTTTGGCAATGTAAACATGAGTTGTATAGAATTTAAACCTAATGATAAGTTTTAGGGTGTGGCTAAATCCAGAAAAGTTTTGATAAGGAGCATTTAAAATTTAATGCAATGAAGACAAACCCATTTAAAGTAATGGAGCAAATTCAATAAATGTCTACAAATTGAAAATTCTAAGAAATTATAGCATAAATCTAATTCTCAATTCCAAATTGACCTTATTTCATGGCCCTACTATCAATATCTTGAATTTTTCTTTCTTTTCACCTCTACTTTTTGAGTCTACATCCAATTCTCTTCCAGGCACACTATGAACCCTTTCTTGAGGCTATTCTAGATGATGACCAAACCGTCATTATTAATGATGGATTCCAATAAAAGCTAGTCCATTGATGTAACATATTAACTTTGATAGAATGCATAAAATCTAAGCCCAATTTTTCATTATGAAATAAAAAATTCAATTCATCTAAATATATTATTTTCAAACTAAGTAGATTGATGCGGTATGGCATTAGGTGATGCAACTGGTATGATGTAGCAGTTGACTTTTAAATTATATATATATATATATATATATGTGGATTTGCAGTCTTAAAGAAGCAGCTTTGAGTGGTAGCAATTTGAATTTTTCAAGCTTAAACACATCTACTAATTTCAATTAAAAAGGCTTGGGTAACAAACATTGGACTTGTGTAGCAAAATAAAAAAGCAATGGCCTTATGTTAGAGATTTGTAGAGGTGTGTGATCTATGGAGGGATCTCATGTGTGTGATTTGATATTATTTGCTAGAGGAGATTTGTGTGTTGATCAATTACTTGCAATTTTTCCACTTCTGGGAGAAATGGGAAATGCGTATAAGTAGGTTTACTGATTATTTTTTGGTTATTATAAAATTTAAAATTAAAATTAATAATAATTTGAGATTAATTATATGACAAAAATATACATTAGCCTAGGTTATAAGAAGTTTATAAATAATTGGTCAAAGTCATGTAACTAACAACTTTCCTTTAATAAATTTTCTCTTTCCAATTTTAATATTGTGAAATCAAATTGATTGTTTGATCTTTTTCGATGCAATATAGGGATCACTGCCTAATTCCAAGAGAAGTCACTTCAAATACCGACGAGAAACTTGATTTTACTTGCTTTAGTATTTTATTCCTTTCTCTATTTTATCTACTTTATATTCATTTCTACTTATCAGAAGCTTTTAAATTATAGTATTGCTTGATTAAAATTCAAAATGTAAGTCGTTGAATTAAATGATGACTTATATCTGTGAATCTTCATATTCATTTACATGAAATTAGATTATGTATCATATTAATTGCATTAAAGAACCCAAATCCTACATATTCTTATATTACTACCATTCAACAATTTATGAAACAACTAAGATCATCATTCCCAAAGAATCATGAATTTAACAACAACAAAAAGGTTTAGATTGTATGTAAATTTCTATTTTAGCAATGGGATTTACAAAGAATCGCCAGCTATATTTAGAAAGAAAGGATCATAAAAAAGAGCAAAGCTAAAGCATCATTCCAAGTGCAAGAAATCAGAAGGACGAAAGTTGAAGTTGAAAAAAATAAATAAATAGTTGCAAGTACGCACGCTAACGTCTGTTTGGTGATCATTTTCACTAGCTTGTTTAAGTTTTGTTGAAGTATCCTTCACCAACTGCCCAATATGCAGCCGTGTCTTGTGCCTGCCAATAAAAACCTAAATTAGAGAAGATTCTACCAAGACAAATATAAGAAAATATAGGTAAAGAAAGTACAAATCTGTCAAAGAGTTAAGATAAAATTTTCCAAATCTATGATTTTCTAATAGGCTCCCCATTCATGGAATATGTTAAATTAAAATTTGAAAGCCTTCGGGCATTAATTTGATCTGGCCGAACGGATAAAAAGGGCAAGTGCCCTTCCCAATCTTCTATCTGATTAATGCCCGAAGGCTACCGGATTTTCAAGAGAAACAAAAATGTGTATTTTAAATAAAAATTAGTAGGTTGCGCACAATTGGAGGATCCTAGAAGACTAATTTGAGGTTGATATGTCCCCCAAAGCCCTTAGATGTTGATTTGATGCGGTCGAGCAGATTAAAAGGGCAAGTGCCCTCCCTAACCTCCCCTCCTGAGGAGGGGGCGTTGAAAGGCTACCGAAATTCTAGGAAAATGCCGAAGCACAAATAGGTGCTCAAAGATCAATATCGTGGTTGATTCGCTCCCATGAAGCCCTCAGCCATTAAATCCTATCCGGCTAGGTGTATTTGAAAGGGCAAGAGCCCTTCCTATCTCCCTTAGCAAGGAGGGGGCACTCGGAGGCTGCCGAAATTTAAACTGACAATGCACAGGACTTAAATAATTACAGGGAACAAAATCTAATATTTAAAATGAAACCTATAATTTTGCAAGGTAAAAAAACTAATCATGCAAGGAATGATCTTTCAATAAACAAAATTGCCAAATACAATTTGTTTGCAAGCGATGGTCAAAGAGAATTGAGGGAAATAAAATGGCCAAATTACAAATAGTGGCTCCTGATGAATATGCTTACTTGCTAAAAGGATAGTATATGGATACAACTCATATACAATTATCCCCAGTTAACTTGTAAATGAAAACACTAAGCCACCTATGAATAACAATAATAGACATGGTGCAAATTTCACCTACATGCGGTAGCCAAGGACCTACGATCAATATCAGTCAACTTGCAGACGCATACGACAATCTCCTATGAACACAAAATCAATGTGGAATGAATATACCAACTCATCGATCCACACACATGAAGGAACCAGTAGTGAATGTAACCAATTTGACAATCAATATTGACACGCAAGCAAATGTATCAGTTCATATGAATACAAGAAAGCCAACTTGCAAATGAATACACAAACCTGCTTGCAATCAACAACATTTAACTAACGAGCAAGTGCATTAGTTCATTTATGAACAACCGCAACGAACATAGCAACTTGCCAGTTAATAAGCATAGGAAAATCATTAATAAATGCAGCTCGACTGGCAGCCCATATCAGCATGTAAATGAGCACACTAAACTTGCTCGTAAATGATAATACTCCTTACAGACATACATAATGCGACATATGATGAATGCAAACATCTGCTAGCAATGACAAAATATTTTTCCAATGCATAATAGTCGCCTACGAATGATAGTCAACAATAGGCAATGGATGTTGCGACACCCTTACAATCAACAACTATTCAGTGTCAAACAAATACATTGATCTCATAAAAGTAAAGGCAGTCAATTTGTGACAAATGCAAACACTTATGAGCCACTAAAGGAGTCCCGTCATGTATACAACTTGCTATCTACGAGCAAATGCAGAAGAGTGCAGTAAATGCAAATGTCTATAAGCAGCGCTAAAAGATTTACATTTCTTGCCACTTTCTTGCATGTGTTGGCAAAAGGCCTATAATGCATATAGTAATTTACCTACGGGTAGCAATAAAAGATATGCATTTAGTGCTGCTTACCCGCAGATGGCGACGGAAAGCCCATAATGCATACAACAGTCCTACTAACAAGTAAATAAAGTGAATGTATTGCAAGTGTAGTGGATCCTCTACAAGCATGAGTAAAAGGATTACAGCAAGTGCGATACACCGTCTACAGACAAAGGCAGCAAGCCTGCGATGAATGCAAACATCTATGAGCAACTGCAAAAGATTCGTAAGTGCGCGATAGCTCATCTGTACGAAGCGGTAAATAACCCGTAGTGCAATGATATGATTCACATGCAAGCAACAATAGAAGATTTGCAATGAAAGCTATAGATCACTGGCAAACCAAAGTAGTAAATTTGTAGTGCGAGGTTAACATGTCAGATAAATCAATCTATTTGCAAACGACAAGTAGAAAGCTCCCGATGCATCGTACAACGTATTTGCCAGCAAAAGTGCACTCTGCGAGCTGAATACTGAAAAAAATGATAACATGCAAAAGATTAAATAAGCTAAATTGCACTACTGATGCACGACAATTGAAACTCAATGTACTGCTAAACTATATCATCGAATCCTAAACACTTGTACAAGCGGACAGAAAACGATACCTCCATAATAGCATCAATCTATATGTTAAAAATATATCTTGCATGTGCTCCGACAAATGAGCTAAATTTGTCAATATCAATGTCCGAGAATGTTACACGAGAAAAAAATTTCTAGCGTCATCCTCCTTGAAAGGATTGGAGTTTACATAACTTGAATTATAAGATGCTTCCTAAATTACTACAAAATACAGTAACTTTAAAATCACCTCGATGATGACCGTGTTAAAAGCTAAACTCAACCGGAGGGGACCACAAACTTTTAAAATGTCTTTCAAATTCCTACGAAAATATAAGTGACTTTGACGTCATCCTGAAGATGATCGTGTTGAAAATAAATCTCAATCAGAGAGGTCAATTCTCAAAAGCTTATTAAAAACTTCAAAATTTAATGCTAGTTCATAAGCAGGAAAGAAATAGAAACCACAAAAAATATTAAAGTTTCAGGAGGCCATAAGGGGGAAAAAATCACTTTCGTTAATGAAATCTAAAGGAATTCTACACAAAATATATTCATGCGCATTACAAGCGGCTACCAGCAAAAAGCAAAAAATAGAATAGTTGTGTGATCAAAATTCCGATGCACATGGCACCACAGATTTTCTTCACAACATTTTAAGAAAACTTCTTTAAAATAACAGTATAGACTAGTTTGCCCGCTAAAAGTTCCGAATAGCATTATCATGTTGTCCGTGCAAGGTCCGTACATGTTATATCTACTACGGTCAAAGCTTTCTTCGAAGAAATTGAATCCCTCCCATCTTATTGGAAGACAAAGGACAAATCAGGACTTGCACATTAGCAATACCAGCTTAATTCATGCGGACGAAAGCATAAACCAATCAACGCTACAAGTCCAGAACCTCATAAGCAAAACTGCAAGTTTTATGAAACACTGGCTTCATCCCTTTCATTCAAAATCCTACCTTTAGCTATTTTAAATCTTCATATTAACCCTAATCGAAATTGTTATATCTAAAGACAGAAATACCAGAACGATGAAGCAAGTAATAGTTATTACGGACCAATAAACCCCAAAGCCAACACCATGGAATCCAACGCGGCACAGGCTCACCAACATCCTTTTTTGCCCAATTTATCCCACGACAGAAGTAAGATTCTTACAACGAGAGAGTCGTATTTCAAATTTGAAAAACGGAAACCAGAGCGATTAGAACTGAGGAAGCTTACAGTTTCTCGCGAAGCTCAGGTGTATCCTTTGGGGTTCCGAGCGTGTTGACTAAACGCTGGAACGTGGAAACGGCAGTGTTGATCTGGAACACTCCGGCGGCTACGGCCTGTGTTGGATCCTGCTTGCCGTTGATGAGATTCTTCCTACCCTGAAGCTGCCGACCGGATTCCAGATCCTGGAAGCTCATATCTACAAAGTATAGAAAATGATTGGGAAAGAACAAATCTTGAACCCTTCAAACCCTAACCCCTATGCCGAAATGATCCCGGCCGATTCGTTGGGAGAGGCAGATAATCTAGATCCACGAGATAGAGAATTAGAAATGGGATTCTTCTTCTTTTTTTGATTTCAACTAAATTTAAATTGTCTAAGAAACCAAAGAAATGAAGGTGAATCCTTCAGCCTCAACAGAAACAACGAAGCAAATTCTATGTCGAGTTACGATGAGTTCTGCTTTAACCTTTCTTACGAATAACTACTAAATTTTATTTTTATAGAGAGAGTCGAAATTAAACCTTTAGGAAATTTAATTTGATACTAATAAAAAAGAGAGATACTATAAAGTCCATCTAAATGGTTATTGCAGAAAAATTTTGATAAACTATTTACTGAATATTATTAAAATGGTTGTTAAATTTTTTTTTAATAACCATTTAGATGTTCCTGTAATATTACGGCCTTTATAGTATCTCTTTTTTATTAGTATTATATATCGAGCACTAATCTGAAGGCAAAATCAATTTGGAAATTTCAAAAAATTAATTGGAGACCAATTGAATTATGATTTCAACAAACTTATAGTCGAACTGAACGTCTTGAAAATACGAAGCCAGCGACACCAAATTCAACTCAATCCGAACCCAAATGAGTCTAAATCAAAGACCCTAAGCACATTTGAAAGGTTCAATCCATAATTTAGATTACGAAACAGTTTCCAACCGTGACAATCTTTTAATAGAATCGAGCGACTCGATGAGACAAATCTAACGAGCCCAAGATCGTTAAACTCTGATATCATTAAGACATTCAAATGCTCGGTAAACGGTCCAAGATCAAGGGATTCAACATCAATTATCCATTCAAACAACCCAAAATTTACCCTTGATTTTCCTCTTATTTACTGGTCATGTCAATCTCATAAAATTATAAATAGACCACTCATTTCTCATGAAGAGGGGACCAAGCAAGAAGAGAATGAAGAGAGTTCTCTTACCATGTGACTCCTCCTCGAACACCGCTGGACTTTAGCCCATCGCCAAATTTCTACATGATGTCGAACTTCCGTCTGTCGCTGTATTTCTACCTGATGCCAGACACCCGCCTATCTTCAGAATTCTACCTGATGCTGAACTTCCGACCGTCGCCGAACTTTTATCCATCGCTAGATGTTCGTCGAACTTATTGAAAGTTCGTTAGGGATGTTAAGCCCTATGAACTTAATCCCAAGCTAACCAAGAGGGAGGGTGAATTGGTATTTTAAAATTTCTTTTCACAAAGAACAAAAATCACATAAACCAAAATCACACCACGAGAAAAATAAATGCGGAAATAAAAATGCGGAAGCAAGAAAACAAGAACACAGAGATTTATAGTGGTTCGGTCAACTTGACCTACGTCCACTCCTTGGAGGCACCCTCCAAGTATTGCACTACAAATGTGACTCTCCTTTAGCCCCCACGGCTAGGCAGAGAAGCCTTTACAAGAACCTCCTTTTTGCCACCCCGGCAAGGCAGAGAACCTATCTCCTTTTGCTTCCTCCTGAAGCTGGCAGAGAACCACAACCAAAAGCTAACTCCTTACCTCTACCGACCCTTCCACGGACGAGAACTTCTAGACGAAGAAGAAGCAGAGCGATCCTTTAAGCAACCCTTGTGAATCCCCTCACAAGCTCCCCCTCACAAGATCCTCTCTCTCTCCCTCTCTCTCTCTTTCTCTCCTCAAGGCCTTCTCAGGTCAAGTCAGCAGCAAAAAGTTTTTCAAAACATTGAACAAAAGCTCTTAAATAGAAGAGCTTCAAATGAGCTCATTAATTGCAAGTTGCCGACAATATCGTCCAGGCCGATATGGACATCGGCCTGGACGATCAGTACAAATCACAGAAGATAGGCCAGAACATCGCCCTGAATGCAAAACTGGATGATTGAAAATTGGCTTGATCATCCAGGCCGATCTCACGATCGGCCCGGCTGATCAGTTCAAATAAGAAAAAAATCATCCTAAGCATCGCCCTGTTTACAAGCTGGCCGATCCCGATCGTTTAGGAGTAACTAAGGATTTTGAATATTTCATCCTGGCCGATCCTGCGATCGTCCAGGACGATGTGATCGTATCAATCATCCTTAATTTCTCCCTTGATTTCCTAATCAATTAAGGCATAATTTGAGAATATCGTCCAGGCCGATCAATGATCGTCCTGGCTGATAATTAAAAAATACATTATACCTTAATTGTCTATGACGGCAACTTCTTTTTATTTTGAGCTTATCGTCCTAGCCGATACACGTATCGTTCAGGCCGATATGTTAATGTCGGCTTCCTTAATTAAGAATCCATATTTAGACTTTCTGTTTTAAGCCTGATCGTCCAAGACGATGTAAATATCGTCCTGGCCGATATGAGTAAAAACAGAAATTCTAATTCTCTCAAGTGTGTGTGTGTAGGGTTACTTAGCATCAGTCTCTTTGACCATTACAAATAGACTCAAGAAGAGAAAAAACAAAGTACAGACTGACTCAACCCTAAACCTACGCAATCTTGAACTGGCTTCGTTTGTTCGTCCGATCTTTTCGATTACTGAAAAGTTAGAAGAACCAAGTAGTCCAAGAAAATTAATAGTGTTTGTCAATCATCAAAATATAAGTCATGAAAATAGATTTGCAACACTTATACTCTAGACCGGACTTTCGCTCGTCAACAGATTTCTACCTGACGCCAGACTTTCACCCATCGTCAGACTTCTGCTTGTCTCTGGATGTTCGTCGGACTTCTACTTAACGTCAGACTTCAGTCCATCATCAGATTTCTTTCCGACGGGAGACTTTCACCCGTCACCAGACGTCTGCCCGTCGTTAGACTTCTGTCGGACTTCTATTTAACTCCGGACTTCCGCCCATCACCGTCTACAGTCTTTCCAACAACCATAGCCAAACTACAGTCCTTTTGACCTCTATTGTCAGACAACGGTCTTTTCTTATCACTATTGCACACCTACTACGGTCCCTTCGACCACCGTCACCAGACTACGATCTTTTTGACTTCCGTCACCCGCCAATTTTGGTTTTTCTGATCAAACAAATATATTAATAGTGATTCTTTCAAGTCCCATTATGTAATTCATTCTATGTGATGTATGTTTATTACTTCAAGCCAAGGCCTTCCCTTAAAGAAGGGTCTTATTTGTAATCAATTGTAAATAATAGTGGATTCATTCAAACTGGGCCAGACCCTATAGTTTTTCCCCTTTTTAGGGTTTTTCACATAAAAATCTTGGCGTCTCTTTTAAATATTACACTGTCTATTTTTATCTCTTTGTGTCATGGATCTTTGTACAAAGCTAAGACATTAAAATTTATATTTCTCTCTCATCGTGATTATTTAATGACACAATAGTTTGGTTCCGTTAGTGGGAATGTGATTCTTGACTAAGGGGCAATTTTTGCTCCAACCTCAAATGGTCATTCGTGTCAACATCTCGGCATTAGCTATTGGTGCATCAATTTCATGGGAATTAAATATGTTAATCTCAACCTCAAAAAGATTATAATGATCTAAAGATAGAGATTTATTTACCTTTGATTTATGATACACATGGTGTTCGTCCCTCCTAATCAATGAAAAATTGATCCGAGGATTCAATTCAACCTCTTCCATATAAGTTAATGTCATCGAGCAACACTCTAACATAAAATCTCGGATAGGTCATAGGATGTCAATCAAATCATAAAATTCTTGATTCGAGAAACATAATCTTTATCATGTCTCAATAAATGGATGATCAATTCTAGTGGGATTAGATCTGACCTCTTATATATATATTAACGTCATTGAGTAGTACTTTGATATATAACATTAAATAGGTCATACATCCTTATTGGATTCTCTCTATCTCTTCCATATAGATTAACGTCATCAATTAATACTCTAATATACAACCTTAGATAGGTCATACATTCTTGGTAGATTCTCTTGATCTCTTTCATTTAGGTTAATATCATTGAGTAATGCTCTGACATATAATGTCGAATAGGTCATACATCGTTGGTGGATTCTCTCGACCTCCTTCATATATGTTAGCATCATTGAATAGTGCTTTGACATACAACCTCAGATAGGTCATACATCTTTGGTAGATTCTCTTGACCTCTTTCATATAAGTTAACATCATCAAGCAATATTCTAACATACAATCTTGGATATGTCATACATCCTTAGTAGAATCTCTCGACATTTTCCAAAGAGGTCAACATCATCGAGCAATACTCTGAGTGGACAATAATCTCTCGAGAAATATTCCATGAAAGTAAGTGGTTAATAAAATCATCACTTATATAAAGATCTCAGCAGGCTAAAAAATCTCAAAAAACATAGGAGGTAATATATCAAAAAAAATCTTAAAGATGCATAAATGATTTAGTTCCTTCTGGGGGACAGGTTCATTTCAAATAAAAAATAAGCATCGAGCTAATACAATAACCTCAACTTTATATACAACATCAATAGAGTTATATAAATTCCACATCAGGTTCAAGTATGCATTTATTTTGATAAAAAGCTAAAATTAAAGTTACACCAAAATCATCCATACAAATTAATGTCATCAAGCAATAATTTAAAAATGTTAAATATCATTGATGGATTCTACTGACTTCTTCTCTACTGCACATTGAAGCATCATCTACAGCCTCTTCCTCAAAAAAAGATTATAATATGATAATCATTAGGCCTCCACTAAATTGACATTGTAAGTGTATCTCCATACTACTAACATGGCACACTACTTTGACTCCTTGAATAGGGATATATGATGTCCACACACATCAATATGGATGTATATTATCTTAACAGAATGTAACAAGATCATCGCAATCATCAGCCCTTTGTTTGATACATCTCATTGATCTTTTACTTCCCTCATCGGCTTCTCACAACTACTGATAACAGCGCACCCTCTGATTATGTACTTCAGCTCTCCACTAGACCATCGACTACTATAAAATTTCCTTCTGACCATTAATTGCCATCAAATATCCACCTAATCATTGATCACCATCATACTTGGAAGTTTATTAGAGATGTTAAGCCCAGATGAACTAGCCCAAGCTAACCAAGAGGGGGTTGAATTTGTATTTTAAAAAATCTTTCAATCAAAAACAAAAAACTCAACCAAACAAAAATTCACCACAAAGAAATTTAATGTGCGGAAAAAGTAGTAAAGAACACCAAAATTTATAGTGGTTCGGTCAACTCGACCTAC